GGCCAACTTGTCGTCTTTTGTCTGTTGAAAACACTCCAAACATTGTGATGGCTTCTATGATGCACACATCAAAGCCTGTAATTATTTTAACACCTGGCTGTTTTTGTCTTTATTATTATTTTTAACATGACTAAAAAGATACATTTATTCAGCATTCAATAATGTGATGTTACAGCAAACAAAACAGGATTGAGTGTGGCAGGTGTTCAACAGTCATTTTATGTACAAGGTCTGGTGCAACTTTACCTGTAATGCTTTGTGTGCGTGCGTGCGTGTGAATGAGTGGTGACAAGACTGACATAATTTTAGTATGAAGCCATAAAAAGTGTGAAATGCATTGTAGGTAACTGTACAATCATGCTTTAAGTATGACCATCTTCTTTAAGTTCTTAAGGATAAAGTATTGTAACATATAGTAATAAAAAAAAATGTTTCTTACAGGCCATGAAACGAATATGTACAATAACTGAATTAATATTTCAAAGGAACAACACATTGTGGTTATTTACAGAAGCTAAACCCAAAATGCAAAAACAAAGTGTGAAAATCTAAATACACTTTTTACAGAGCCAATAGAATTTAGAAAACTAAGTTGCAGCCAGGTGTGTCTAATGCAAATGTCAAAAAATAAATAAACACATAAAAATCAGAGTACATAACAGATAATATGACAAAATTTAAAAAAAAACTGGCTGTTTGTAATGGAATGGGTGATTACTGAGTTCCAACAGGTGTGCTGATTACTAATAGAAAACAGGTGCTATGCAAATTTGAAACAAGTACTTTGTAGAATATATAGTAAATGACCACAAGAAAAAAATAACTTAAATGATTAGCCAAAGCTTTCAAAACTCATAACAAAACGCAAAAAATTCAAAGATCATCACAAAACCAGAAAATATAAAAAAGATGACATCCAAGATGGCTTAGATTAGGAAGGCCTCCTCTGACCAAAACACAGAGTGTTTGAAGAAAACAAAACAATCAGCACAACACACCATATCAGCAGAAATATAACACCCAGTCCCACAGCTACAGCTTGTCTGAAACTGAGCCAAGCAACAGGTCAGTGATTCAAAGCTCACTAGAAAATCTACAATAAAATGGCAGAACATGAAAAGAGCCAAGGCGTTACAATTGTCCAGTTAAAGTCAAGATTACAACCGAACTGACTGGGAAGCTGTGGTGGGGTATCTGTGTGAGAAAAGATGCCTAGAAACATCATTTAGGCTTTTAAATTAAAAAAGGGTCACAATTCCTCTACAGTGATGTAAGACATCACAACAGCTTGTTAGCACTGCTGAAGATTATTCCTCAAAATCATTAAATCATGGAATGCTCCTGAGTTTTGCCTTTTTCTTATTTAATTGTGTGTGATTAACTTGTACTGTTTTATTGTTTTATGTGCTGATATATGCACATTTAGATTTACAAAATGGATGTATTAATTTGTAATGTATACATGCACATGGCATGAATACGATTCTTAACCATCTAAATTCTTTATAGAGCCACGTTAGATAATATTTCCAGTGTTTTTAGTACCTGGACAAAATCCTAGACTGGGACTGCAATACTAAGGCTATTTAAAAGACTAAAGCAGAGCAGGTTTTTTTAAGGAAGCCTAGCTCCTACAGTGAGTGTAAGATAGATGATGAATATCTTCCATAAGTCTGTAATGGAGAGTGCAATTTTCTTTGCAGCCATCTGTTTGGGCAGCAGCATCAGAGCTAGTGACTCAAAGAAACTGAACAAATTGGTAAAGTAGCCGAGCTCTGTGCTCGGGACTGCCTCAGAGACCCTTGAGCTGATAGAAGAAAAAAGAATGTTGCACAAGCAGCTCAGCATAATATACAACTCTGCACACTCTTTACACAACATGAACAAAACAGAGTGTTTTCAGTTAACGGCATTATCAGCTCCACTGCAATAGAACTGGCATAAGAGGTCTTTCATTTCAACAATAATGGCCTTGGTTATATGCATTTATCTGTGTTATTGTTTGTTTCTTTTGATTTTATGTTTTCTTTATGTTGCACTTGTTTTTTTAATTGCACAAATAAAACAGTTATTTTTTTTATTTCCCATGAGAGCTTAAGTACTACTAAAGCATTGTTAAATTCAAATTCATTACCTTGTCTTGTAATATCTCTGCTTCTTGTTCATTCTTGTTAAGGTGTGGCAACTATAATACACGGGAAGTGGTTTGTTGCTAAAAGAATGAAACATAGTAAAACCCTACTTTTGCAAATAATGCAACAATGCAAGAAAGCCTTATCAAGGTTTGATTAAAATGCAAAAACTCCACACCAGAGCCAGCAATTTATATATATATATATACAGCCACAGGCAATTTGCGGCATTCCTGCTGTTAAATCGTCTTTTCTGTTTCTAATTGCTAGTTTAAAAAATCTGACTTGCCGATTTTGATTGCCAGTCTGTCAAGCGGCTGCCTTCGAAAAAGTTTGTTTCCAAACAAGCTGTAATTTTAACTTTAACTTTACGTTTTTTAAAGGCTGAATGAAGGCACCAGGTTTCAAAATGCCATCCTCTCAGACATGCTGCTCCATTAGTCGACGCATGTGTGCACATATTGCTCAACGCACTAAAAATATTTTCAGGGATTTGTCTTGGAACTTGCTTGCATACTAATTAAACTGTGACTAATTTCTATATCAATAGCATCATCCTGTGTTTGCATGTGATGTCGTTGCATGAAGTGTATATCTGACACACAGAATGCTGAATGAAGCAGGAAGCTGAGCTGCACACCTTTAATTCATCCTGCAAAATTTTGTAAATTGCTGTAAAAGACAAATTATCAGTAAAATAATTAAAGAAAAGAAGAACCAATTGTCAATCATAGAATGAGCACTAGAACACAAAGTTAGCCTTTACATTGCACATCAGGGAGCTGAACATGTAAATGGCTATTGAACATACCAGAAAAGTGGAAAAAAAGAGGAAAACATGTTGTTTGTCAGAAAGATTAAACCCAAGAATCCAATGGGAATTCAAATGTATTTCTTACACAACAAATACTCTAACAGAAATATTATTGTGCTGCGAGAAAAAAGTTTTTGTTGCCCTGTTGATTTATTTGCTGCAATGATTAAAAAAAACAATTTTTTTAAGTTTCTGGCAAATGTGGCACATCAGAGTGGCTGAAAATGATAAAGTGTGAAAGTTACGCCCTCCTTCTCCCCGATGACCTCCTGTCTAGACCCAGGCATTCTACCCATCACAGCCAAGGTCCTAGTTCTGTCCTTTCCATTATTAGCCCTGGTGGCTAACATGAATATATTTATATTGGTGTGTGTGCGCATGTGTGTGTGTGTGTGTGTGTGGGTGTGTGTGTGTCATTACTTCTTCCCTCATCTGACGGTTTTGGGTTAAACAATGTTATTATTAAAGCTTTTACAGAGCCGCTTCCTGCCTGCCTTCAGTGACACCCTTCTTCACTATAAATCAACCGCCTGAGCCCCGTAAATCACTCTGAATGAGTGTGTATCTCATACAGTACACGTGTGGGTTCCTGGCCACTACAGCTGCGCTCTCACACAAAGATGACAGCGCAGCTTAAAGCCAGCAAATGTGGGCAGTTGAACTTTTTTAAGCAACTTGGACAAAATTAATGATTCATGTCCGATAAAGCACATGATTTAATTGCAATTTAAAGGGAATATATTCATAAATCTGTGACTTGTGTTCATGGTTTCTGAAACACACACACACGCATACAATTTTGTGCTGCAAGAAAAGATAAAACAAGCATGTTAGACTATTAGTTTATGTGACATGGCAAGATGAGTTCATCTCCCGGAGACCAAACTGGATAAATAATGCTGTCTGGAATAAATGACTCCTCCTGTGCAGCAGTGATGGCTCATTCTGTGACTATTTGTGATTGTGTTGACACCCCCTGCTGGGCTGAAGACATCACTACCACGCTAAGAGCAAAGCTCGCAACAAGTGACAATGTCCCACATCCAATCCCACAACCAGCGGGGATACAGTATGCTGAAGTTAATGAAACACTCAAATGAAGCCGATGCCTTCTGCCAGTATGATATTACAGCAAATAAGCACACATATGAATACAAATGACAAAACTGCTAAATGTACTCCAAATGGGTTGTGCATCCCTAGTTTAAAATGCCCCATTTGTGTAAGTGGAAAGTTAAAGGGAAAGAGAGTTTCGAGTGCCGTGTCTCTGCCAAGCCAAAGAGAATGAGAAGATTTTTATACACCACACAGCTGCTGGAGAACACAGCAGACCTAAAAAAATGAAGAAAAAAGAGCCATTGTTTGCCAACAGCAAAACAATACAGCTGCAGCTATGAGGGAAAAAGAAAAAAAAAAATCAGGATCAATAGAGAATTGCAATTAGCCTGCATTGGCAGGAGTACCGCCAGATTAGACACAGGATGTCAATTCCATTTCCTGCACTGTTGGACCCTCAGACTCGATTGGTTCATTGTGGAACTGAGGCAATTCGCATATGGCTTGATTCTGTACTGTGAAGGTTATAGCACGTAAAATGAAAGAAACATGATGACAACACTCACACGTGAGGTTCGACATTATCAGAGGGAGGCAGAGGTCTCAGAAAAAAGTAAACGAGACACATTTGGGGCAGACAGTTGAGATAAACGATGTTTTAGCTATACCTGCTTTTGCATTGCAAACAAACAAGAAAAATCAATAAAATTGCGAGTTGTTTGCGTGGTGTAAAAGAACAGCGTTGCTCCTGTTTTCAACAATTCTGACATGATGCTTCAGCTTTAGATGTGAGTTTCTTTATTCAGACTGAAATACATTTACCACGGGAAAAAAAAAAAAAGCTTCAGTGTTGTGGAAACTGCACATCGCGGCGCTGAAAGGAAACACATCTCTGTATTCCCTTGCCAGGTTTTCCGCCGAGAGGGAGGTCTTTTACTCGAACAGTAAATATTCGTGACAAAATGGAAAACGCCTGACTTGCCAATTAAAGGGCTTACCTTTAACTATGCCCTGGCCTTGCAGTACATCCCTTGAAATCAGCACAGAGTAGAAGCTTTGTGAGAAGCCAGGCCGACAGGGACCTTTGGAGGCATGCTCCGCATTATTCCTCTGGAAGGAAATAAAAATACAGTGTAAGACATCAATAAACATAGATTCCATTGACTTCTTCTTCTTCTTTTTTTTTCTTGTTGGCCGTGAGCCTTGGAACAAAGCAGCATATAAAAACAGCAGTAAGCGTGGGAAAAAATAATCAACAAGTTTATCAGTTTCACACTATAGGTGTACTGCTGATTAAATTGTCCCTCAGTCCAGCATAAGTAATCAAATGTGCCCTAACGTATAACCGGTACCATAAAGAAAGCAGCAAAATGAAATGAGGACAGATTTAGTTTAAGTGTTGTGCTCAGGGTTAAGTGAGACACTGAGCACACACACATCAAAGCAAACTGCATGAATGCAGCATCATTTTCTCCCTCCATACTGTGGCTCTTTCTTAAACAGAGGGCGTTCAAACGACTGAGTAAGTGTGGGGAGAGGGGGGGTGTATGTGTCTGAGAGTCAAACTAAAGACAACTTTGCTCCCAACGTTTGGTGCTCTAAGGTATTCAAATCATATGTCCCACTATGTGTCCCCTCACACACACTCATGCATGCGGACATAGGCATACGCGCAATTTAAAGCCTGGGTTGTAATATCCCACTCTGGCAAAGCTGCAGAAATAGCACATTTCCATTTTAACATCTAAATAGTAAATACAACGGAAGCTTAATTCTGCGCAGCTGAGAGTGAGATGCAAGGGCTACTTGGAGCGCCATTAGGGAAAGCCCACAGGCGCAGACTTCATTTAGGTTTTATTGATTAAACCACAAACAAGAAAAGAAAAAGAGAAAAAAGAAACTCCAAAGTTTAACTTTTTTTAGAAGATATTGCTTTTGGCTTACAAATGAAGGCAGCTGAAGTCAAATTAAGCAGGATGATGAGATTAGTTTAAGAGGAAATAAAGGCATCACCCTGGTGAATAGACCGTGCGTAATTGAACTTGTGTCAGATATTACTGTCCGGCAATGGAAACGGCAGCGGTTTAGTGAAACCCCTGACAAAGTAGACGGCGTTCAAGTCGTTAAGTGTTACTTTTTTTATTTGTTGTTATTTGTTAGAAATCCATTAGGGAACCAATTAGCGTGGAGGACTTGTGTAGGAAAATAACGAGCAAGCGTTGCGCTCGGTGCTGCAGCAGCACACCGCAACGATTTTGTCTGACTGCAGGACTTTTCTTTAGAGCTTATAAAAGAAGAACAGGAAAGGGGAGAAAAAAAGCTGCATCAAATATGATAAAACCCTCACCCAGAATGTGTGAAGAAGAAGGGCTGCTGTCAGAACCACAGCGAAGTCCGTTCTCATTGTGGCGAGCGAGGCGAGTCCAAAAGCTGCCTGGACGAGGATGGAACCAGAGAGAGAGAGAGAGAGAGAGAGGAGGGGAGCGAGAGACGGGCTCGGTTCGGGCTTCTTCCTCCCCTGGTGTGTTCAAATTTCCTCCCCCACTTGGTCGGACTGTTTCCTCCCCGCGCTCCGTGAGTGTGCTGCAGCTCTGCCCCGAGTTTTCCCCGGCTCTCTCATCTGCAGGTGAGCGCTCCGCTCAGCACCAAGGCGCAGCCAGCGTCACTCTCTCCAACCCCTCCTATGAGCCGGTGCAGGAAAACTCCACACACACTTAAAGACACACTCGTTGGGAGCTGTTTGAGTCCTGCAGCCACACCACCGACGTCTCTCCTGGGCTCAACCCCGCCTTGATGGCGTCCTGAGAGGATTCGCCTATAGCTTTACTGGTGTAACTGTAAATGTCTTAGTTGCCAAATGTACAGTCAGGTAAACTCATCCAGCACCAACTGTGATTTATAAATCAATTCAGCTTGAGCTCAGCTTTATTAAATTCATTGCACTAGGTAAGAAACCAAAATGTATGTTTGCCATCCCTCTCCTGTAGATTCTACATATGTTGTTTTTGTGTGAAATTCTGCAGCAAAACAACCATATATGTATTTCAGCAGAAAATAAGATGTTTGCACTTTTTTTTAAAGCTGCAAACAAAGCTTCGTTCTTTAAATATACTCTTTAGAAACTCTGGATTGTACATTGAAAACTTGCCCTGAACGATATAGTTGTTGCAGTTTAAAAGAGTTTGTTTTAGTAGTTTTCCAGATATGCAATTCTGTGTTCACACTGTATTAAAACAAAGAACATGGCTGAATCATTTGAAGTAAGTGGAAGCTTGAGTCACACGATTGACCTACATTAGACAGGCCTCAGTCTACATGATGTAAACAAATATGGTGTAATCAGACAAGCATATAACAGGGAATATGTTGGATAGAAATATATAATTGAATCTAAAAGAAAAAAGAAGAAACAAGTTGAACAACTGTCAAGAACAAATAAAACTTGAGCAGAAAGGCAGAGCTTCTATCACACAAATCAGCATTCCAACACACACCAAGGTTTTTTGCAAAGTTTCTTTTTTACTTTTGCAAACTATTGTCAAGTTTTCACTGTGAAGTAGGAACCTAAGCAAGCAGACGCACTTCAGGATTTGAGTAACATTTTTTAATAATTATAATAAAACAAATAGTGGTAGGACCTGACAGGGAACGAATCAAAATGATGACATGACAGAAAGAATAAATAGGCTGAGACTGATGAAGTGAGTGACGACGGTTTAGCTTAATGATTATGAGGAACAGGTGTGAGTTGAGGTGCACTGAGGAAAGAAGCCAACTGAGGAATAAAAAGTTGTTGGCATGGAGAAACACAGGGGATCACAAAATTTCAAAACAACAGGGGAACATGGAGAACAAAAGTAACAACAGAACTGAAAATAAACAAACCCCAAAAACATAGTTTTTATTTGTAAGTTTTAATCAAAAAATCCAAGATTAAATAAAATACATCCAAACTGCCTGAAGTCTTGATCCCAGCAGTCTTTCTATGAAGATCAATAATGTTATGTTTTGTGACTTTGTTTATTACTTTATGAATTTGTGGAGGGGAACAGTCTTCATGACATTGTAAATATATGTTTACATGTGCAGAATTTTTAGATAGGATTGAAATGTTTTTGGATTAAATAATCCAAATGTATTGTTTACATGGGCACACAATTAATTAATCTGATCATAAGGAGCATTTGCATGCACCAGGCTTTTATGCAGAGTAGAAGTACTGACATGTGCAGCATTGTAAACTTGCCCTAAAAAACACAGAAGTTCTAATTTTGTGATGAACATCAACATGTTCAAATGTGCAGTGTTGTATAAAGTACCACAAAGTGATACTTGAGTAAAAGTACAAGTATCTGACCAAAAAATTACTTTGGTAAAAGTTAAACTCTCCTTTAGGAATATTACTTGAGTAAAAGTATTAAAGTATCTGATATTTTTGTACTTAAGTATTAAAAGTAAAAGTATTGATTTGAAAAGAGCAGTTAGATTTTCTGTAAGGACATTTCTTAGGAGGTGACCTCCCCAAAAAATGCAGAAATGACCAAGTCGTATTAAAATAATTAATTTATGTTAAATTTAAGATGCACTAGCTGTTTCAGTTTATATACATATATCAAGGCTGCCCAAACATTTTCCATTAAATGGCAATCTATCTGAGGGCTGCGGCCAAATGCAATAATATAATTCATGGTGAAATAGAAATACTTCTTAAGAACAGAACTTTTATTTTTAATGATTCTGTCCTGCTGGAGTGTGACATGATTTGTTTGTGCACAAACTAATATGGTATCAGAATTTTATATATTTATACTTCTCATTCAACCACAGTTACATTCACTCTATCTAGGAGGGACAATTTATATGGATAGTGTTTATTTTTCACAATAACAAGCTGGAATGAAAACAAGCAAAAATGAAATGAAAGTAACGACTTCCTATTTCTTGCCTTTTTTAAAAATGTAATGAGTAGAAAGTACAGATAATTGTGTGAAAATGTAAGAAGTAGAAGTAAAAAGTAGGCTGAAAAATAATTACTCAAGTAAAGTACAGATACCCAAAAATTCTGCTTAAGTACAGTAAAGAAGTATTTGTACTTAGTTACTTTACAACTCTGCAAATGTGGCAGGCTTTAGTAACAGTGGAGACATTACTGAACTCCATGATTGAGCTACAGGCAAAGCAACATGTGCTTTTTTTGGGTGGGGTGGGGGACAAGGTATTCCTTTTGTCTTCCTACTTTACTGAATGTGAGAGGAAGGAAATAAACGTCCTTGAAACTTCTGTGCTACTGGCAACTAGCATGGCTGCTCTTCCTTCCACAAAAGACCAGTGATGAAAGTCAGAAGTGAATACCATGATCAGAATTACATCAGAAGTGTTTACATTCTTGCTGTTTGGGTTATCAATCAGTATAAAGCACCCCATTTGGTTTTAAAATTGATTTCAACAAAGCTGAATCAGATCAGAATAGTCTGGTTGTGGCATTTACATACATGACTGGCTAATGTCTTTAAGGAGAAAAAATATGGTTGCATTGGTAAAAAATAACAAAAAAAAGTAAAACTCAAGATAAGAAAATCAAAGGCCCTGAAAAGGAAAAAAATGGTGAAGTCCCTTTTTAACAAAGCAAGAAACCTTGTTTTCAACAAAAAAGTATAAGCATCAAAAGAGTGTCTGTGAGACATGCAAGAATAAGCTTCTAAACCCTTCATGTTCAGCACTTTGAAAATAATATTTTCCAAATTGTGGCAGGTGTAAGTGCACTATTCAACTTCTAAAGCACCTTATTTTTAAGTGAATTCAAAATGTACATGTGGCTTTTTTTAATTCAACAATAACATTTGTCTTTATGTGAAAATGTCAATTCCAGCACTGGACTTTGATCATTTTAGGGGCTTGTTTTACTTTACAAACTCACCATTTTCTATCTTTTTTTCTCCGCTTTTTAAACAAATATTCAGTTGTTGTTATTGAGTCTGAGAATATGAGCATTTTTTTTTCAAAAGAACAGTTGTGCAGATGTCAGTCAGTATTTATTTGTTTGTTTGTTTGTCTGTTTTTACTCAAACCAAAATGCTTTAGATAAATCTAAACTTAGCTCTGTGTTCTGTGATTTCTTTACCTAAAAATCCTCTGCTGAATAAAAAGGGTTGACAAGGCCATGCTGAAAATTTACTTTAGTTTTGTGTGCATGCAGGTCAGCCTGTTACTTGCATTTTACTAATAGCAGGTTGTTTGAACAGTGTCTTGAACTTTGATTTACTTGACCAAAAAATAACAATGGTACAATATACCTTTTCTGCTACTTTTAGTTGTTATATCATGCTCTTTGTTATTGGCAGACCAGTTTTTATATACTGCTCAGAGAAATCATGGTCTCCTGATAGAATACAATAATGTAATTTTGTGAATAACAGCTCAGTCAATTTCCTGCTTGACATCCTTTATTTTGACCACTTTTTCAGTCAAACTGATCTCAAAAAGGAGCTGTGACATTTCCCACATTTCATTTTATTTGTGCTGCTTGTTTTTTAATGATACCAAGGTAGCTGACCACAAGGACTGTACACACAAGGTGACAGGTAAAAGTTTTATTTCAAAAGACAATTGTAAACATCAGGACCAGTCTGTTCTGCGTCAAAACATGTCAATAACAAAATCTGTAGGCATGGGTCAGCAGCCATAAGATGACCAGAGTCAGCGCTAGGTGAGTCACCTGCTTGGCTGTCAGGGTCTGGCTGAATAACTACAGTATGTTAATCTCCTCCACTTCATCCATTACAGCATAGTGGGGCCTAGCCACTTTTGACCCCAACTCAGAGTCATCAAAATCACTTTGACTGTATCTTGACATAAGCCATGAAAATGTTTGCTTGTCTGGACATTCCACTCACTGTCTGGATTACTCAGTCCCAGGTTCTCAGTATTGTACTCTCCTGGGGTGTCCTTAACTCCAACATCCTGAGGTTCATCAACTGGAAGAAAGTTCATATCTATCAACAGGTTTCAATGCACAACTCTACAATGTCCCTCTGAGTATTTTATTTTGTAGATATGAACTGTACAGTATCTCTGGTTGTCTGTCCACAACTGTATAAACAATTGGCTCCCACCAATCTGCCAGTATTCTTCTACCTCTCTCTCCCTTGTTAGCCAGTACCACTCTGTCACCAATCTGAAGAGTAACGCCCTTAACCCTCTTATTGTTCTGCCTTGCATGTCGCTTCTGTTGCTCAGACACGTTTTGGGCTATCTTGACATCATCTGCAAGATTGGTGAGGACAGTGTTCAAAAGTAGGTGCTGAAATTTACCACGTTAGAGTATTCAAAAACAGGCTGGAACACCACATCAACTAGAAGCCGCGGGATGCGCCCAAACATCAGGTAAAAGTGGGCAAAGCCAGTAGTTTTGTGGATGATAGCATCGTATTTAAAGTGCCTGTGACATCAAATTTTTGTAATAAATGTGAATGTGTTTTTGGAAAGAGAACAATGATGACATATTGCAAAACAAATTTCACACTGCTGTGATGAACGGTTGTTGAGATGTAAGCATGTAAAAAACAGGAAGTGATATCGAAGGGGAATTTCTGCATGTAAACAGTGTTGCTACATTATTAACAGACTGTAGAGAAGAATCTGATGTTTCTTTCGATTATTTTGAGTCACCGTCAGAGAGATGAAGAAGAGTTTAAATAAGATTGTTTCAATAAATATAGTCTAGAGAGTTTGTTTTCTTATAAAGTTCCCTTTTGATGTCACTTGCTGTTTAACTTTGCTGAGCCAAATTCAGGAGGAAATATACCAGTTATGAAACAAAATGGGTAAGATCGTGTGCATTATGCTAATTTCCTTAAATATAAGTACGCTTTCTTTGACTTTTTTTATTTAAAGGATAAGCATGTCACAGGCCCTTTAAAGGTCAGCATCTGAATATGCTGAGGTCATGATTGCTTAGATCTCAGGGGGCGTGCCTGCCCAATTCATATTTTTAAGAGTATGTTCAAGACCCATTTTGCCCATGGGGTGATAGGCTGCAGTATTTGATTTGGCTACCCCAGACTAGCACAAGAGTTTGGACACCAACTCACTTTCAAAATTAGCTCTTTAGCCAGAATGGGCTCTTTCAGGGAATCTGTTTATGCAAAACACATGGTCCCAAAGTTTCTTAGCTACTTGCTTAGATGACTGGGCAGGGCAAGGGACTGCATGAGCCATTTTGGTTAAATGATTTGTCACCACCAGCACATCCACCAAACATTTGTTCTCAAGGGCGGAGTGGATAATCGAGACTATCGGGACGACTCCCGCTGGGCCGGACCATTAATGGGCCGGTCCGATGGGCGCAGTTAGTACGAAAAAAATCTCTGATCAAAACTGATGATGAACTTCTGTTCGCTGATGCTCCCTACAGAGCTGCAGCAGCAAAGAGCCAGCTCCCCCCTCCCTTTTTCACACACAGAGCTGGAGGAGCAAAGACAGCCCGTTTCTTCCTCCCTTCCTACTTGTGACAGAGCGGAGCGGTGTCACGCTCACACAGTCAAGAGTTTATTCTTCTATTCTTGTGGGGACTTTGCATTGACTTCCATTCATTTACCGGTCATTTCTACAGCCTAACCCTGACCCACCAACAGAATTTTCCCCAACGGGGACCGGGCTTTTCCCCCACAAGCAAGAGTGGGTCCTCACCACCAGGCTGTGTTTACAGGGGAAATGGTCCCAACCAGGTTGCAAGAACCTGTAGGCACACTCACACACACACACACACACACACAC